CGTCTCAGTAACAGCATGGTCTAGTGGGTGGAGAAGAGCAATGCAAACCAAAACAGAAACTTACTCCCGTCCTGGCTCTGGCTCCGACTGGCTGTATGACGTTGGGCACATCAGTGAGGGCCCAGCCCGGCAGGGCGACCACCATTTCCATCCAAGACATCTCCCACCAAGTTCAACACGCCACAGCTTCCACGCTCAAGCCCTTGGGTTTCCTGGATCAACTCCAAACACTGGGAAAAGTGCATCTCCGTGTAGTTGTACCCACTGACGCCAGGAATGCATTTGTCCCTGCGTATCTCTCTTTTCCCCCATTGATAAAATGAGAACGATCATTCTTGCCTTCATTGCAAATGGATTCAGTCTCTTTGAAGACAGAACGTATTATGGTTGTCATTAGCTGCACAATTAATTGAACTCTGTTCAGAGGGAGTTGTACCCCAAGGCTGCATAGATATGTTTCTGGTTGATGTGTATCCGTACATCATCAATTCCTATCCTATATTCATGTTTCAAACAGCCTTCCAAAACAATGCCTAGCTATAGAGCATTAGCACGCAAAACTCCAGCTTTACAGGCAGTGATGGAAAACTTATGCAGAGAACGAGGCAGTCATGCATAGGATGCTTCCCCAGCAATGGCTCCTAAACAAACTCTCCCCATTTCTGGACCGAAATGACAGTTGTGTCCTCGCTACATACAGGGTGAGCCACTAGCACGACTCCTTAGCTTCTTCTTGCTCTGGAATTTCTTATTCATCTTCCTCTTTCTCCCCCAAGGATTTTGTCCAGGAATACTTTGCATTTCAACTGAGCATCTGGGTAGTCAAAATCAAGACCCATAGCAATAGATTAACAGCTCAACGGGGCCGTACCAATTTTCTTGCCAGGCATCTGCATTTTCACAGATCTGCAGTTTGCATTTTGGCTTCTATTCTACCCAGGAGAGCACACAGTTCACCAGCAGACTCTCTGTATGCCTGAAGAAGGGTGCTTGTGCCCAAAATCTTGCAAAGAACATTTTCCCCAACTATTTAGTTGATCTAATAAAGGATACCGCATCTACCCAAAGCAGCTGGCTGTCTACAGCTCATAGTCATGTGCCCCCTGGTGGGAGAGTCAAGAACTGACAATTTATCAGGGAGCAAAAGTAAAAATAAAAATCCCAGGGTGTGTATTACCTGAGATGAGCCCAGGAGAACATTTTAGTTCGCAAAACCAAGCTGAAAATCAAGCGTGTTGCAGATGAAGTGGGATCCACATCTAACCCCGCAAAACCTCTAGGTGTTATCCAACCTCAGCAGGTCTTGTCCGCCAGGTGTCTGTTTTGCAAAATGAAAGCCAGGGCTAGGCAGAGCCCAAATTCTACTTCATTGAAACCACTGAAGTCCAAGGAGATGCTTAAGAGATTGTGGCTTTGATCCTCCCCTAGCCTGAGAGGGAAGTAGCAACACTCAGGACTCGGGGCTCCTTTAATTTTCTGTCTGCTTATTTGACTCATGTCCACATAAAGATGATTATGTACCAGTATTGATGCTATAGAAAAAGTTAAAATCTATTTTTTTATATATATATATATATATATAATAGATTTTAACTTTTTTTCCTAAGGCATCAGTATGAGGGGGGAAGTGTATATATATACATTTTCCCCAAAATGATTTATAAATAAAGCATAGCTCCCTTTGGGGTGAAATATTGGTTTTCTAACTTTAAGCAGGGTTGGCCCTTTTAGCATGGTCATTCCACAGGAAAAAAGGGATAATGTTTTGGGACTGATGGGACTGCTTTGGCTGTAGAAAATATTCCCTTGTGTTACCTTTCAGCTCGCGCACCCAGGCAGCATCAGGCTACTTATCGCCTGGGTGGCAGACCTGCAATCCCTCCGTGTTAACAGTGCTGCTCCTCTGAACTCATATGTATGGGGCTGGTGACCCTGGGAGAAAGTCCAGGGTCTAAAGTTTGTTTGAACAACCCCTGGCCCCTCTAAACTGCATCCTTCAAAGCAGAGCATGCAAAAGCCAAACATGATGAGAAAGCTCCAGAAATGAGCACTGCTCGCAAATAAAAGATCACACAAGACAGAGACTGCGTAACGATAGCCTATCCAGATATACCTCCAGAGCCTAATGCTTCTAATGTAACAGAAGTAACAGTTAGAAAACCTATAATCATAAACTCCTAACATCTCAACACTTCCTAAAGCTGGCCAGCCTGCCCAGGAAACTGTACCCGACTCAGGGACTACCTTCTACGGGATCTTGAAACATCTGCAGACTGGGTCAGCAAAAAGGCTTTCAGACTGACCGAGCCCAGACAAATATGGTCAGAAAGTATGTGCCCTTGTGTCATGTCGTGGTCAAACTGGAACTAACTGACCTGAACCACTAACCGGGAACTAAGCATCCTAGAACTGACCTGGCTTTGCCGGTACTTCATGTTCTTTTGCCTGCAACCCAGTCCTTTCTTACATGACTACCGGCTTAGCCTGATTGAAGTTAACTTGGCTTAACTTAAAAACAGCCCGAGGCCTACCAAAATGGATGGAATCCAAAAGGATTCAAACAGAAAGCTGAAAAAGATTTACAGGGCAGGGTTTGGTCTTAAATCAGGCCAAGATGGTACAGTGCACGTATATGCACACATGGGACTGGGGGAACACACAGGCAGAGGACTCGGAGGATCTGGTGTCAAAACCCTCTGGATTTCTTTTGTCCTGTTGTATTTAATTCTTCTTTTTGGAAGGCTTTGGAGCAGAACTGAGTAGCAAGAAGAGACGGAGGGAACTGTTCAGCGGGCCAGGAGAGCAAGGGGCTTTATACAAGAGCGGCAGAGGAGAAGGCATGGAGCTGAAGGCTGGAGAAGGCAAGAGGAGGGAGTGCATAGGGTCTAGGTCCTCCTATGCTTACTCCTGAGAATTAACCCTTTTCATGAGTTCTGGGCGTCGTGGCCAAGGTCTGTGCAATTGTTACCTTGAAGCTGAACTATAGCAGCAACTTGGGTCTAAGGAGACATACCTGGACCCTGCAGGTAGTGCTGGCTGTGGCAGCTCAGCCTGGTGGAGCTAGTTCATCATCTCAGGTGTGTTAGTTATATCAGTAGGTCTGGGTCTCCCAGAAGAGTTTCAGCTTTTGGTTTCCATTTAGGAGGCACTGAATGGCTTGGGACGTGCCTGTTTGAGGCAAGGCACAGGGATATGTCTACCCGGATCAATGAAGGGATGCAAGATGAAGGAAGAAGGAGTGTTTTCTGAGCTGGCAGGGTTAGTGACCTTGAGGATATCTTTTTACAAATGAGTCTCCTCAAAGCTTGCCTCCTCCTTGGGGAAGGGCTGGCTGTGCTGAGCCACAGAGTTGGGGGCTAGAAGTGAAGACTGTGGTTGGCGTTTTCCCTTTGCACTCCCGTCCCGGGTGATGGGGAGGCTCAGTGTGGGCTGGTTGCTACCAGTGTAGCACTGCTTTTGGGCTACAGCAGACGCTAACCCGGCTCCCCGGGGGGAAGGGACCCCTAAGCATGGGGCTCTTACTGTTTTTAGACCCAAAGTGCCCCTTGTTCGACATGAGACACCCCTTGGCAAATGCCAGCTTTTTGCTTTCATCTTTCTTTGCTACGACAGAAAAATAACAGAGCAATTAAGGAGCTCAGAAAGCCTGCAACAGTTCGGCGTGTTTTTAACACCAGGGAGTCCTATTTGGGTTTCTCTTGTGCGATGTCGCAAGCCATGGTAGGCTGAAGTCATGGAGAAGGCAGGGTAGGTCTGCACCTTGGAGACTAACTGAAAAAACTTGCTGGGAGATGCTCAGACCTTTGGTTAGTCTATAAGGGCCCTAGTACACGTTCAAATGATAGAAACCAGCTATAGACTTGTTACACACTTTCAAGCACTAACTTAATAGCTTGCTGGCTCTTTCTACAGCTGGCCAGTCATTTTTAATAGGGTGACAATTACTTTGCAGGTGTGGCTGGGCTAAACTTACTGTCCTATTAACCCGTTAATTGTGTGATAATTACTCTGCACTTGTGGCCGGCTGCACTTTGCAGGACTGGCCAGTCTAAATGTATTGTGTAACAGAGGTGACGTGCAGCAGGGGAGAGTGGGGCAGATGGACCCTGCCTTCTGCCCCACTTCAGACTAACATGCCTACGCCTCCCTACGCCCCGCTGAACGAAGGACCCCAGTCCGTCCACACTCGCTCAGGGACCCTCGCCGGACATCTGCCCTTCAGCTAGTCTGTACGGTACACGTCTACCCCTCCTCGCATGAGAATCAGGTTTGCACCCCTAGTGGTGTGACACCCTGTGGCCGCCCTGAGAGGCTCTTGGGGCACCCCTGAAAGATGCCTGCACCCCTGAAAGTCTCTCGGGGCACCCCAGAAAGGCTCTAGCACTTGTGAGAGGCTCTCGGGGCACCCCTGAAAGATGCCAGGGCACCTGCAAGAATCTCAGGGCACCCCTGAAACATGCCAGCACCCTTGAGAGGCTCTCAGGGCACCCTTGAGAGGCCGGCACCCTGGAAGACGCGGGGCCGCCCGACACTGAGGCGGCGGCGGCGGCGGTCGATGGCCTGTGGAGCCCCCGCTGGTGCCCCGAAGCCGCGGGCGAGTGCGGGGCGGGGCCTGCGGGGGCCGCAGCCAATGGGCGGCGGCGCGCTG